TCTCATTTTAGTCTATCCAAATGCATGATGCCATGCAACCCAAATGGACCATGCTAATCAGGTCAAGTACATCCCATAAATAGTTATGAACTTAGACACCTAATCCAACAGCTTTGTGGTAACAATCTGTAGAACTGTATGTTAGCTGGGCTTGCTGGTTATCATCTATGGAGTGTCCTTAGGGACTGTCGGTGGTTATGTAGGATAGCTTGAGAACTCTTAGTCTAGGCTCTCTTGTCTGTTCCTTGTTTGGTTGTGGCTCTAGAGTAGGACTATCTGTTCGAGTGGCTATCTCACATCTGGTTACTTATGGTTATGCATTCTATGGGGGTAGCTGGTGGCGGGACTGTATGTGGTGATAGGATTAGTAGACAGTAGTGAGTTGTATGATTGTTGTTGCATGTATTATGTGCCTACTTGATCATGATTGTTTATATGTCGACATATTGTGTTTGGTTGGGTTGAGGCGGTCCTGCTTTGTGCGGAAGGCCAAGATACCAGGTGCGGGCCGGCTGTAAGCCGTAGGCACGGAGGCTCGGGAGGAGCGGTAGGGTTGAGGCGGTAGGCCAACAAACCCTGGGTATTCCAACTCGATGGTTGATTAGACCCGACATACTGGTATTCCAGCCCGAGGCTGATTGGGCAAGGCATGAGTATTTGTATTTATGCTTGTTTTGTGTGGGGGTATTTTGGGGGAAACTCACTAAGCTTTGTGCTTACGGTTTTAGTTTATTGTTTCAGGTACTTCTGATGATTTTCGCAAGGCAAAGGCATGACCGTACACATCCTCGTGATTTGGACTTATGGTTTCTGGGATACTCTGATATTAAACTATTTTAAAAACCTTTTTGTAATAACTAATGGCTTTGGATGTTTGAAAAAGTTTTAAATTGGCTTGATTTTTATGGGTGTTACAAAATTATGGTAAAATAACGTGACTTTAATGAAACCAGATAAGTAATGAAACCGGTAAACCGGGAAAAAGTGGTCAAATCGCCATTTTTACCGGTAATTCGTAGTTTTTCGTAAACAAATTTTAGTTTTGGACTTTTTCGTAAATTAGGTAAAATTTTAGGATCTTTTTGAAGATTTCCCTGAAATATAATAACAAATGGTATTAGAAGACTTTGGTGTTTTTGTTGTTTGTTGTTTGTTTTTTTTTCTTTTGAAAAATGCATTTTTCATCACTTATGTCTACTGGCAAGAAGACATAGCTGAAATATATCGTTTGTAATAAGGTGTGCTTGACTTTTTTTTTTTTTTTCAGAAGAATAATTTTTATTCTTTGGAAGACATCTTCTAAACCCTACTATTTCACTTTTGCATGTCTTCCCCTTGAGAGTTGTTTGTTGTTCACAACCCACATTCTTCTTCGCAAAAGTTGCTATCACGCCGGCCATCCCTCTACCACTCCTTTACCTCCCATCGACACTGCCCACTTCTCCACGCCTATGTCTCACATCGATGCATCGCACTCCTCCATGCCTTTGTCACCCATCAACTCCACCCACTCCTCCATGCCTTTGCATCCTCTGTTCTCGTCTGCAAACACACCCCATGAAGCACCACCGAACGTTGGCACCAGTGAGATAGTAACCATACTTCTCCATTTTGTCCACTAACAACTTCTCCCTTTGGCTCTTCTGTCCATTGCATAACCCATATAGCTTGAATTCTTTTGATTAAAAAACATTTTTTCTTTTAGCTCGGTGAGTACGTACTTTAATTAAACATTCTTTCAATTTTCTGGCATTTTTTTAGGAAAGAAACCGAATTAAACCTTCTTTTAGTTTGCTTGCACTCCCTAAGTCTAAACTATTATTTATGCATACTTGGTACTAATTGTGTTCAATTACACTTCTTCTAGTTCTTATTATAACTCTTTTGATTGTATGATTGTTGATACCTGTTAAACTAAGTTTCTTGATATTCCCATCCATGTTGTTTGTATGGGCATTAGTATCATGGCTATGAAACATATGTTAGGTGATTTGCACTAATATCTTGAAGATGAATCTTGATGTGGATATGACCGGTCTGTTGATTTTGAAGATTATGTGTGAAATATAAACATGACTCTCTAAATATAAATTTTCATATATAAGTAAAATTCATTAATATTACGATACCATTCGATACCTAACAGATTGTCGGTAATTTAATTAGTGAGTAATATTAAAATAGAAAAACTATACATGTAAAAATAATCAACGAATGTAATTTAGCAACGAAACCATGAAAGACGCCGCATGATTCCAACTATTGGACATATTATAACCATCGAAGATATATACTAGAGATATCAATATACTTTTTTAATTTAAAATATGTTACGAGTTTTTACTTTTTCATAAAATATATTATATATTAAGTTTTTTCGGATTAAATATTCGGTTTTATATAGTTAAAAAAAAACTGAACTTTTTTTTTTGAAAGAAAAGGTTTTACGTCTGACAAGTCTTATAAAACAAAAAGAAAACTAATATTTAATCTGACAAAAAATAAATACTTTCAAAACCTCTATCAGACGTGTGGCCTCGTATGTGCTCCGGTTGGATAGAAGATGTTGTAGTCGACAAATAAAAACTGATTTTAACGAAAAAATAACATGGCCAGGTGAAGGTGACATGAGACAAGACAACGCCACATAACTTGGATCATTGCTTTTCAAGTTTTCATCAACCATCTCTGATCTCTGTGTTGTTAGGGCTAACAAAATTTAAGAGCAATCGGTATGGGCCAAACGAGATGTAACGCCGGTGACGTGGCGCATGGCGACGACGTCTTAACGGGGGG